GTTTGTCGACGGGGGGCATTCTGCTTTCCATAGATGTGCCGACCCATCTAGGTAGCCTTTTCTCGAGTTGACACGTTTTAGGATGGTGGCTAGACTATCTTGCACCAGCTTCACAAGGGTTCACAAGTTTTACCAGGGTGAGATTTGTAAACCGGAACTAGGGAAGCAATGGTAGTACAAAATGCCCCCCCCCCCGTCGACAAACAGCGCCGCCCAGTCTTGTCCAGTCTGTACTTCAGTAAATACTATGAGTAAGACTTGTTGAAAACCAACCATGGTTGTGAAGTAGTCGGTAGCGAATGGAAGTTGAAGACTCAGCAAAGCTGTGGAAAGATCCAGTGGCGTTAGAAGAGTCGCTTTGGAGCTCGGCGATAAAAGCGGTGTAGGAGCCAGTAATCCTGCAAAAATTAGGTATATTACTGTGGGACCACTAGGTCCGATTCGACAAGGCAGCGGCTCACCTAGTACGGAATCGTTTTCCTGATTATTGTTGACGGTCTTCTGCGGAACGTACGACATTCTTTCCGCTTCTAGTTCATCCATATCAATCTGCACGCCGCTGTCTGGTGAGCACTCGCTGCGTGACATCGGACTCATCGAATCGCTCGATGAGGTGCTTACAGCGTCTGAAACGAGAGAGTCAGCCAATCAGAGTTAGTCGCTTGGAATGTTGCGAAGGAACACTCTACATCTCGTACTGAAAGGGGCGTGACTGCAGGCCCAGATTCGAAAATTTGCCCTCGCGACAGCTTTTTTCACAGAACTCATCAAAGGAGAACAGTACTACAAATCAGGTGCCAACTCAGTTGAGTTGGGGAGCACAACGCAGCGCGCACCATTCTTTAACCTAAGGCTTAGGCTGAGCTTTGCGCAGAACTTGTGTGGGTGCAGCCATTTCTTCATTTCATTGCAGAGCAGGTGTAGCTAGGGTGCACCATCGTGATGTGTGAAATGGTGGTGTCAGTACGACCCCCCCCCCCCAACGCGCCGCGCACCCGTGAGCATTTTCCCAACTAATTTCCAGCATTCGTTTTCCGAAATTCTCTCTCACATCTTTCCTATGTTTCTTCACCCGTAAGTTTCTGTTCAGCCGAGCGGGTGGAGGTCATTCAGCATACAACCATTTATTGTTCAAGATCAAAGTATCGGAAATACGTAGCTGTATAGAACTTTGGCGACGCCACCAACTAGGGGCGGGAGGAAACGGTAAAGGGGAAAAACCTGCGAAAAGTCAACAACGGACAAAAAAATTTTTTTCTCAACGCGGCTAAATCCTCCTAAAGGCACTTGCGATCCCCCTCTCCCAACAATGATCAAATACGACCCCACCCTCCCTAGCGGCCGAGCCGAGCCCCCCCCCCTTGTGTGTTCACACAATTATGGTATGGTGCACCCTGGGCTACCCGCCTCGGTATGCTCCAGAATAGTGCCTCGTCAAAAAAAGTCCGCGGTGAAATCTTCCCCGCTAAATAAGGTGTTTGTAGTGAACTTACGGAATCTGGTGTTGTATATAGGGGTGACGTTGAGCACAAGGTCTTCTGACGAACATTTTGATGATGTCGTCGCGTGATTGAGTGCATCGTCAATGGAGTTGAAGGCAACACGACAGCGACATTCGTAAGGGAATTTGCTATGGACGGTCCGCAGGTGATGAACAAGTACCGAAAGGCCTGGCTGAAAAAAATACCTATAGAAATGTGAGGTGTCAAGTTCTTTCTTTTGATCAACTTCTTTTCAATGACTCGTAGATTGTATCTTACAAACTCGCGCTCAAGACTGTCGCAAACGCCCATTTGAATATGTCTTGACGCTGGAGGGGGAGTGTCCACGGACCCACCTACCTTTCTCGTTCTTTGAACAAGCCTTGACAATGCCCGGACGCTGATGCTGCCCAATGTTCTGAGTTGTTGTGAGCGTACGGGCGGTGTACAGTAGCTGGCTCAGAGAAGCAGATAGCATGTGCATAAGAGAGCGCAGACCGCACAAGAAAATAAATATGGACCTCTCTGTCTCCCCTGCCAAAACGGCAACT